TTCAATTTGCCCCTGATTTCTGGCCACCTGAAGCCTGGGACTTGGTTTCCCCATTCCCTTTGCCCCTCTCCTCCAGGAAGCCTGCCTGGGTGGTCTCACAGTCTAGGCATGGATCTTCTGCTCCTTCCAGCTCAATTAACTATTCTCTGCTTGGGATTCCTGCCTCTTTAGCTGGTCTGGGAGCTCCTGGAAGGCAGAGCCCAGGTCTCCTGATCTCTGTCTATCCCCCATCCTCACAAGCAAGTGGTGCTCAGGGCTGCACACTCAGGAGGCTGGTCCTAATATTACTCAGTGTAATGTCCAGTGCCCAGGACTGCCCCAAATCTGTTATGGGCTCAGATCTTTTAAATTCACATGCCATTTCTCATCTGCCCTTCTGTTCCCTTCTCACCTGACCTGTGTGACCAGCATCAGTGTCCCCAAGTCACATTGAAGGAGGCAGTGGCTCCCAGAGGGCCAGCACTTGCCCAAGGTCACAGAGGCAGAGCCTTGGATTCAGTCTGGAGCTTCACCCCTACCCTTTCCAGTTCCTCTGAGGCTCCCTGGGGTCCCTGACAGGGGCTAGGCAGGAGTTCCAGGGTCCTTCTGTTCCCCCAACCCCCACCCCTACTTCGTACCTTTGGGCAAAGTAAAGATAAACTTGTTCCTGGTGAGGGCGAGGCTCTGGCCAGGACCCTGCTGCTCAATGACATCAGTGACAGCGGAGCAGGCAGGGAGGGGTTCCCCATCATTCACTTGCAACTGCACCCCAGCCCCGGAGCCGGCCTGCAAGGGGTTCTCAGCTGACAGCCATAGGGCATATCTGCCCTCCTTGTGAAACCCCACGCTCAAGACTTCAAACTCCAGGTCCAGTGTCTTCTCCTCAGCCTTCAGCCTCTGGCTCAGCAGGGATGCAGAGACCCAGGGTTCGGGCCCCCTGAAGGCCATGGCCACTGTCAGAAACTAACCCCAAGGGTGGGCACTGCCCCCTCCCACCCACAGTCCCAGCCTGGGCCCAAGTCTGAAAGCCTACAGGCTGGGTGCTCAGGGCCAAACCCCACCCCTCTCTGTTTGTTTGAGGAGAAACCAGGTAACAAGTCAGGAAGCTGGGCCTGACCCAGGGAACAAAGGCAGCCACTGATCCCTCCTTATTAGTATTTGTTCATTCAACAAATACTTATTGAGCACCTACCGTGTGCCAGACACTGTTTTAGGCATTCTGAATATGGCAGCGAACCAAAGATTTCTGTCCTCCTGAAGCTTATATTCTAGTGGGGGAAGTGTATGGAGACAGACAAAAATAAACACTAAATATAGAAAATAAGTAAATTAGAATGTATGCTGGAATATTAAAATTCTAGGTAAAACATCAGAGCAGGGTTAGAGATGAGGATTTCTGTTGTGGGGAGCACATGGGCGTGTGGCATTTAGAACTTCCCATTTCTGGGAAAGTTTGTGTCTATATGCCTATTCATCACCAAGAGTTCTCATCTTGGGTGTGTCTCAAGGGGAAGGAGGCGGGGGTGGGGGTGGTCAGGGATGGTGTCTGCTCCCTGGGNGACATTTATGGACAGCATAGGTTTCATTCAAAAAAGTTCACTTGAAGTTATGTTGACTGGAATGCATCATTTTCAAACGGTAAAAGATGCCAATCTAAATACAGTATTGGCCAGCCCAGTTAAGTTTCCCAAAGTATGTGGCAGGCTTCTTCTGCAACGATTAAAATTCAGAAGGAGAGAACAAACCTAAGGATACTAGAGATGGGGGAAGGGAGGGAGGGGTTTAGGAAGTGATAGGTCAGGTAAAGGGCATAAAGAAATATCACGATTTGTAAGAATGAATATGGTAATAATAAATTAAATTAAATTAAACTAAATTAAATTAAAAATACAAGTTAAAAAAATTCAGTTTCTTCAGGTCTCCCAAGGAGAAACTGAGTCAAAGAGTTCTAGTGACCNATCACCACCATCACCACCATCATCACCATCACCATCACCACCACCATCACCATCACCACCACCATGACCATCACCATCACCACCATCACCAGCATTACCATCATCACCTCTATCATCATCATTTATCATCATTGTCCAATATCATTGTCATCATCATTAATGATGCTCTTGATTGAGCACTGGGTACCAGGTATTCTACATGGCTCTGTTAGGTAAATATAATTATTTGTCATTTTACAGATAGAGAATCTGAGGCTGAGAGAATATGAAGAAACTCATCCCAGATCACACAGCTATAAGTAAGAGTTGAGATCTGAACCTAAGGATTCTAAGTCTATCTGCACTTTCCTTACTAGACATGTCCTGG